CTGAGATTGAGGGAGGGCTTGAGATGAGAAGTGACCAGGACCTAGGACATTGTGACAAGAGGCTCAGTCTGCTTGCTGTGGCTTCTGCTCTGCCCAGCAGTCAGCATGCTCCCTCTGCCCCCTGTCTTGCCTCTCATGGCCCCTGCATTCCCTCCAGCCAGGGCACCTTGGTCTGGACTCTGTGTCAAGCCTCTGCCTGGTATCAGCAGGCAGATGCTTGCACCATGGGAGGGATGGGCAGCAGGCAGACCAGAGGCAGCTCTGACCTCTTGGGTCATTGATCTGGGGGAGTGCAGCCCAGGGATGCCAGACAAGCCCCGTTTCCCCCTTGGCTGGACCAGATGGCAGCAGGTCTGCCAGCCTGATGGGTTTGAGCCAGGGGCAGCCCTATCTGAGCTGGGCCCCACTTATAGAATCCTGAACAGTGACGGCCAGTCTCCTAGAAACCAGGAGAGAGCCCCAGACCTGGCTGGAGGGGCTTGAGCCCCACCCTGGGCCTTGGCACCATTTCCTCCTGTCCTCAGTGCCTGTTGTCTCTCTTGGGACCTGGGCAAGCAGCCCTGCAGTGTCAGCAAGGGGAAAGGCGGAGAAGGGTAAGGGAAGGACCTGGGAGTCAGGGCTTCCGATTGTGGCCCTGGCTCTGCCCCTGACTTGTGTGACTGCGGGAGGGCAGCTTCCTTCCTCTGTGCCTCGGCCACTGATCTGTAGGGGACATGGGCTCCCTCAGGGCCCTTCCAATCCTAGTGGAGGCCAAATTGCTCAGGGCCGGGTGCTGAAGTCACACAAACCCCAGATGGGTAAATCACGTCTCATCTCTGCAAAACAGACAATGACTGTACCTGTCTCATGGACATTCATTGTGAGGTACAAATAGTGCAATATGTCAAGTGCTTAGCACAGGGCCTGGCTCTCAAGTGGAAATCGCTATTTTTCATATCCTTGAAGTCTGTGAAGGAACATCTTGTCCCCATACTTTTCAGGAGGAAGTGAAGGCCCCAGTGGGGAAAAGATGTGCCACGAGTACTCACAGCCAACAGGAGGACTTGAACTTGGGTCATCTAACGGCAGGTCGTGCTGTGCAGACATTGGCCCGGCAGCTGTTGTCCTCTGTCCCGTGGCTCCCTGCTCCCTCTCCCCTGCAGGGATGCCTCCTGTGGGGGACATTTCAGAGGACGGTGCTGCTCCCTGACCCCCGACTTCTCTCCCTTCCGAGTCAAGCCTGGCATTACTACAACGAATTCACTACATCGCCCTCTGCCTAGACCCTTTGTGGGAGCATTTCTCTCTTGGCCCACTTTCCACCGGTTCTGCCCCTTACGCTCACTGCCCTTAGTGGGACAGGCCTCACGGGGACCCTTTTGCTGGCACGTTTCCCGTGGTGCCTGTCCAGGCCCTGCAGGACCCCGAGGCACTTGGGCATGTGCACATGAGCACCTGAGAGGGCTGTGGACTTAGAGTCAGCTGTCACGGTGCTACTGGGACTCCAATCTTCCCCACCCCCCATCCTTACCATGGCCTAGGAACTTGGCTCTGGTCCCCAGTTGTCCCTCCCCATATACAAGGGGTACAGCCTATATTCATGTTCACATTCCCTATCCTGCATGTCAGAGCTGTGCTCAGTGCCCTGGAGAGCTCCCATCGCTGGCCACCAGCCCGCGTCATGCAGTCCTGTTCTTGAGTACCGCACACATGTTGCGGATGGGGGCACACGTGCCGGCTCGCATGCCTGCCTTGGCCCTGGGGAGTGGAGAGTCTGGTAGGAACAGTCTCCCCTGATGCAATCATCAACTCATTCTCTCAGTGCCACGGAGGCAGGGCCGGCTCCTTGCTCCCTGCAACCACTGGGCACAGCTGGCAGCCTTTCTGGCACACGGGAGGCAGTGAATTAGCGGGGCCTCTTTAGCAGGTGGCAGTTACACTCTGGATGGGGGTGCTCATCCAAGGCAGTGTCCGCACGCCTGTGCTAGGTTCTCAAAGGTTCAGAGGTTTGTGTGTGTGTGTGTGTGTGTGAGAGAGAGAGAGTTGCCAAGGAGACCTTTTTAGCTCCCCCCCCTCCCCTCCAGCCATCTCTCTACCATCAGGATCCTGCAGTCTGGGTCCTGCCAATCCCCCAGGATCCTTTGCACTGGGTCCGGCCAGTGCTGGGATGGAGAGAAGAATGATGGAGACTGACAGAAGGAAAGGAAATGGAGACAAGAAAGGAGGTGAAAAGGAATGGGAGGGGAGATAGGTAGCACTGAGGAAGAAGGGCTCTAGGGAGGAAAGGAAGAAAAAAGGAGAGCTGAAAGGAGAAATGGAAGCGGAAGAACAGGCGGATTTGGTGATGGGGGTGATGGGCTGGAGTGGGGCTGGATTGGCCCTGCCCCCTGAAGCCATCTCCATGGACTCTGTCAGAATCAGGGTGAAAGCTGGTCCTCTATGCCTCCCTCCCTCATGTCCCTGAGTCACTGCTGGCTCTTCCTGGGATGACCCTGAGACCTCCCCCCATGGGCTCTGCTCTCTTCTGACATGCTCCATTTCATGGGGGAAGGCGAGGAGGAGAAACAGGGTGGTCAGGCCAAGCCATCACCTCCTTTGTTCAGAACATTAGAGTCCCGTGACTATGGCCTCAGGCCTTGTGAGCCCTCTCACTCTATCTCCAAGTCCTTTGTTCTGCAGGAACTGCTGCAAACCAGGCCTGGGCAAGGTGATGTTCAAATCATGAGCTCTACTCCAGTGGGGCCTCAGAGAATGACACCCTAGAGGTTTGTGACTCAAAGATGGGGGTGTGAGCTTCCATGGTGCAGGGAGAGCAATGCGTCGGGAAATCTTCGGAGTCCCTTAATAATAGCAGTTCTTATCTATTGAGTACTTACAAGGTCAGCCACTGGGCTCATCTCATTTAAGCCATAGAATAGCCCTGGAGGTAGGGAATATTTTTAACTCTGCAGACAAGAAACTGAGGCACAGAGACGTGAGGATACCTACCCAAAATCACACAGCCTGTAGGTCGTGGAGTTGCTCTAACCACTGCACAGTTCCCTCTCTCCTGGACAATAACCGGGGTGTCCTCAGTGGTCAGTAAGGGCTGTTCCAGCATTTTCATGTGTGGAAGCGATCCCTCCTGGGAACCGGTTCCAAAGTCGGGGCAGGGAGCGGTGGTGCGGCCCTTCCCCCATGTCCCCATTTACATAGCTAGCCTCTAGCGGGTGTTCCGTGCCCTGCCTGCTGCCCACCGGCTGTGAGCCCAGAGCACAGGCTTCTCTTCTTTGCCTCTGAATTGCAACGTTGGCGGCAGAAGCGGGGAGCATATTGTGCACAGAAACAAAACTGAGTGGCTTTTCCTTTTTCTGAAGGTGGTAATGGTACAATTAGTGGCTAAGCCATCACCCCTCCTCCCTTGCTTGCTTCTCCTCCTTCCCCTCTGCCTCCCTCCTGTTTCTCTCCTGGGAAGAAGTGGCTGCATCATTCCCACCCTCAACTTCCAGGAATAGGGGTAGAATTTGGGGGAGGGGGGACCTGATGTCTCCAGGGACCCCTGGACCTAGGGATGTGAGTTGGGGACCTGCTGGGGTTGGGGATTACCAACAAGCAGACACCATGTCCAGAAAATGACGTGACCAGTAAGGCGATTTAGAGGTTCTCAGGGGCTGGGCTAGAAACCCAGAGGGTTCGGATCCCATGATCCAACCTGTGCTCATTATGGGCAAATGCTGGCCTGAGACCTCAGCCTGGCGGGCTGTAAAATGGGCTTGAATGGAGGGAGAGGGTGCAAAGGGTCTGAGATTCTAAGTGCAAGCTGGGAGTGATGCAGGTGGTCATGGTCCTGCCTTAGACCTTCCCTTTCCTCTTCTAGAAACTAACAAGAGGCCTCCGCAACCATCAGCCTACTCCATCTTCACACCCTCCTCTGAGGGGCAGCTTTGCTCTGTTTGGCAGAAAAGGAGCTGAAGGCTCAGAGGGGAACATTGACTTTCCAAGGGTCACACAGCCAACAAATGTCAGAGCTCCAATCCTCAGAGTCCAGTCTCCTTCCTTCTTAACCCCCCAGGCCTTGGGGTGAGATTTTGGGGCCACATATATGGCTCCTGCCCTGAAGAGTTGAAGTTGGCTGGGAAAGTACCCACAGGATTTGGGAATGAGGGCGTCAGGGCAGGTCTGTGGCCGCTTCTCTCCAGGCCAGGCCATGCTCCCCTCCCCACTGCCTCCTCCACCTCTTTCACCTTGACTTGAAGCGCCAGCAGAAACTGGGACACGAACCCCAGGAGACCAGCTCTCCAAGGTCCCTCGGGGGCATGGGCCAGGGGAGAGGTTATGGAAGAGCCTCAGGAGGGATCAACTGTTATAGCTGTGAAAGGGGACTTCTTCCCCAAGCTAGAGCACCCGTGTGATGGGCAAAGTGGGAAAGAGCAGAGATAAGGAAAAAAAGCAGAAGAAAAAAATACAGAGGGGAGCAGAGAGACAGTTATAGAGACGAGAGAGAGAGAGAGAGAGAGAGAGAGAGAGAGAGAGAGAGGAGGAGAAGAGAAGAGAAGAGAAGAGAAGAGAGATCCCAATGAATTAGCCATCATTTCCCTATAAACCTTAGAACCCCGCTGTTGCCAGGACAACGGGGCAATACCTGTCTCTCCAGAGGAGCTGAAGTTGCCAGGGTAACTGCATCCTGTCTTTCCTGGGGACCATCCTGGAATGTGGCATCCACCATTACCATGGCAACTGCCTTTTTGCCCCATTTAATCCCATCTGAGGGCCCCACAGTTGGAGGTGGGGGAGGTGGGAAGAGAGCAGATCACTTGTGGATGAAGTTTGTTCTCCTCCCCCTCCTGCAGTCCTCCCCCCGGGCCCTGCCGCCCTCACCTCCAGGGTGCTTTATCCACCTGCCCCCAGCCCACACATGCCTGCAGTATTGTGTGCGGTCAGGCCAGGGTGTCCTGGAGGAGCAGGTTTTGCAGTGGAAGGCAGGCAGGTGTTGGGGAGGCAGTTACCGGGGCAACGGGAACAGGGCGTTTCCGAGTTGGTTGCCATGGGGACCTGGATGCTGACGAAGGCTCGCGAGGCTGTGAGCAGCCACAGTGCCCTGCTCAGAAGCTGGGGGCTCCTCAGTCAAGCCGGTCCTAGGTTCTTACTCGGCAGCACGGGCAGGCGAGTGGCTCCTGGTTCCGGGAGCAGAACAGCAGTGCCCCAGCCCTGGTCCTCCAGCCCTGAGCCTCGCCTGCCCGCACGGCACCAGGATGGCCACCATCACCTGCACCCGCTTCACAGAAGAGTACCAGCTCTTCGAGGAACTGGGAAAGTGAGTTACACCTTAGAGAGTCCTGGAGGGCCCAGGGACTCCGTGCCATGGGTGGGGGTATGCACCTGCGGGGTTTCCCGTGCTCACAGAGGGAGGAAGGCTGTATGTGTTTGGGGGCACTTGCATGTGCAGAGTGTCCAGAACTGGCACGGGCATGTTTGTGGGTGCAAAGATGTGCCAAAACAGCTGGGCGAGTGTGAGAATAGAGGTGAAGGATTGATGATGCAGGCCAGTGAGTGCACACACATGTATGTGCACACACACATCCATGACCTGGGTGCACATGGATTCTTAGAAACTCAGGGTTAAAAGGGGATTTTCCTGTCGGCTGAGTCCAAGGCTGGAATTCCCTGTGAGTTTCTCTGGAGGTGGCCAAGGGGCATCCATGTGGGTGCCTCTGGTGACAGAGTTCAGCACCTCCTGGGAGTCCTCCCTGATGCTAGGCAGCTCCCACGATGGCAGAACAGCCAACTTCTCTCTGGAAGCTCATCCTCCCCCAACTCTCCCCTCCCAGCTCCTGTAGGAGCGAGGGCATCGGCACAGCAGGGGTTAATAACTGAGCAAAGGCTGAGGCTTTCTGGGGTGGGGAGGAGGGGAAGGGCAGCCAGGCAAGTTGGGAGGGGGCACTGCAGTTGCAGGGGCTGGTGATGTGAGGTGCACCAGCGCTGATCCTTGGCGAAGTTGTCCAGCCCAGAGCTCATTTTCTGCCTCTGATGACTGGTGTGGAGAGAAGGGTGGGAGGATAGGGGACGAAGAGCCCCATGGGGTAGCCCTAAGGTGATGGAGTATCAGGGAAGCATTCCTGGATGCCCACAGTAGAATTTGTGGAAGATGCAGGAGTGGATCCAGGGTAAGGGTACCATTTGGAGGCAGTTTGCCCTTTGGGCAAAACCACTCCAATGCCCTCGGTGTAGCAGCAGGAGTGCAGGAAGAGGAGCTCTGTAAGCAGGTCTGGGCTGCTGTGAGGTCAGGAAGTGCACACACAAGTGTTTATTTGATGTGTGTTGTATAAGGACTGACTCTGGCGTACACTCCGTGCACCGAAAGGGTGTGCGAGTGTCCAAGTGTGTGCACCAGGAGGAGGTGCTAGTGTGTGAAGCCTGAAAATGCAAGTGTGCCCTGCAAGCACGGATGTGTGCAAGTGGCACAAGGAGTGCTGTTGGCTGGTTTGCATGGGAGTGAAGGTGTGAGCGTGCGTTACATGTATGGCAAGTCAGCTGTGTGCACATCAGCAGGCAAATATGTGTGAGGTCTGGGCATGTGCAAACATATGTTTGTGTAAGGATGCACATCTGAGACTTAGGCACAGTGGTGTCCCTATGAGGTCTGGACATGCATTTCCATGTGAGGACCTGGGAACATGCACACAGGAAGTTATGTGTGTGCGTGTGAGGCCTGAGCCCACGGGCTAGGGTGGGAGTGTGGGTGTTTTGAGCTCTTGCTGGTGTCTGCATATGTGTAGGAGGTGGGCCTGTGGCTGTGTACAAGTAGGCGGCCTGCACACACACACACACACACACACACACACTTGCACACTGGGCAAGCCTGACACCTACAGGCACACGCCAGTTCCTTCGTACAGACATCCCTGTGCAGACGTGTGCTCACTCTTGTCTGCAGACTACCTGTCTTTCTGAGTGTATTTTTGTGCTGGGGAGGCAGCAGGTACAAAATGTTTAGGGCTTCCCTGGAGGACTGAGGCTGTCTGCCAAGCTTGTGTGGGGACCCCCTTCTCAGCTGGTTTCCAGGGCCCACTGAAAGGCAGGATTCCCTGATTAGCTGGGAGCTGCCTTTCAGGGTGCGCTGGCAGGACTGCGTCACAGAGCGCAGTGAAATGGAGTTAAAATGTGACTCAGGTGCTCAAAATGACAATAAAAGTGATGTTTTACCCCACGAGGAGATGGAGCTCATGAGGACTGGGTGCTGTGGGGGCTACTTGGCAGAGAGCCTTCTCAGCACCGTTGCCTGCCAGGGTGCTTGGAGGGACCTGGGCCATGGCAGCACTTCAGGAGGTAGGGAGCCCTGGTGTGTCCATGGCAGTAATGCTGAGGGTGGCAGGCGTGGCCAGGCCTTGTCTAATCCATTTCAGATCTCTTCCTTCCAGAATCATCAGTGCTCTTAACCTTTTCTAGGTCACATATTCCTCCAGGAATCTGACGAAAGGCTAAGTCTACATTCCTCAGGAAAATGCGCAAAACTAAGATGTGTTGCATGCAATGTCAGGAGCTTGTAGGACCCCAGAAAGGCTGCGGCTGGGCCTCAGGTTAAGGATGCTTGCATTGGAAAAAAGGGGATGAGGACCCACACCTCTGATCCTAGCTTAAAAAGGCCAGGGTACCGCGGGGAGGGGGCCTTCTGCTCTGCATGACAGCTTCAGCCCAAGAGGCCAGTAGGAACAGTGCCCAGCACAGGGTATAGGCTCTGGACCTCACCACTCACAGCTCAGTGACGTTGGACAGGCTATAGCACTTCTCTCTCCCCACCCCCTCCCGCCCCCTGCCCCGGAGATAAAAAAGGGCTGTGAGGATGAGATGAGATGGTGCACGTGAAGACGTAGTGACAAGCCCGGCACACAGTAGGCCTTCCAGACAGCATTGCTTCTGGGGACTGGCGCACCAAAGATGCGTGCAGGGCCCATCCTTCAGTTTGGTGACTCAAGGTCCCTGCCAGCCGGGACACTGCAGTCACCACCCAAAGCTGAGCCCCTGTTCCAGGGGCCTACTTCAGATCACTGGCAGGGTGACTGGCAGAGACCGCTGCGTGGGCCCTACAAGGGGACATGGGAGCCTTTAGAGCTCCTTCGGCAGGGCCCTGGGCTGCCCAGCTGGAGAGGAGGGCACGTGCCTCTCGAGGGCTTCCTGGTGCCCTGCCCGATGAGGTCTGGCTCGTGACTGCAGGCCTTCCTTCAAGGAGCCCAGGGGTAGGGCTGGCTGTGGATGGGACTGAAGCTGCCCGTCTCCCTCCTGGTGGGCAGCCAGCTGGGGGTGTGAGCTGGCGTCAGTGCCCTGGGCAGGGGCTTCTAAGGGCCTCTCGATGCCACTGGAGGAAGGTCCCACTGCGGATGTGAGTCAGATAAGCCAGGAATTGATTCCAGGTTCCTGAGAGGGGTGAGGTGGGGCTGTCTCTTGGACCCAGAGCCTCGCTCACCCTCCCCTCCCTCGACCCCAATCCTCCTTCCTCCCAGGGAATGAGAGAAATGAAAGCCGGACCTCAGGAGCACAGAAGCTCACCGGGAGGCAGGCTGCAGCGGCACCAGCTCAGGGTCAGGGTGGGCCTGGGCAGTTGGGCCATCGCTCCCCGCAGACCAGACAGGCGTTCTCCGTTCTCCGGAGACTGGGATCAGGGGAAGGGGTTAGTTTCCAGCAGGTGGAGCAGGGGGTGCCTCCTCCAGCCTCTGGCATTCTCTGGGCTTTGGCTCCCACTGCCCGGGGAGGTTAGGGAGCCGAGAACTGCCCTGCAGCCTGTGTAATCACCAGGCATAAGAAGGAGCCTCGGAAGGAGACAGTGCTTGAGAGAAGGAGAGGGAGGGAGACCGGAGAGCGGGTGCAGCCCACTCTTTTCTCCTGAGACACAGGGATCTGAAACTGTCTCAAGGGCGTGTGGGGCTGGGGGAGGGCTTTCAAGGGCCAGCGAGGTTGGCAGAGGGTGGGCGGAGAGCTGGCTCTGGAACCGCTGCCCCCTCTGCTTTGTGTGGTGAACCGGCCGTGGGCTGGGCTGATCAGGGGTCCACATTGGGGACCAGAGGCAGCTCCCTGCACTTGGCTGTCCAGGATCCTGGGTGCCCCTCTGGGGACCCAAACTCTAATGTCTGCCCAATGTGTGCAGCTCTCTGGTCCTTCCCGAGCTGTTAGGAGGCTCGATGATGTAACACTGGGGAGAGAGGGCACCTGGGCATGGACGCACCGCCCGGAGATGGGTGTTGTGCGTTTATTTTGCTTCTAATAACCTATTACATTCACGGCACTGGGGGGCCGGCGGGGCTGTTCTCCCCTGATGAGCTCATCTGGCGGGAGGCTGGGGGCTTACTTATCCATCTCACAGATGAGCAGACTGATGCTTGAGCAGGTGGGATGACTGGCTTGGGGGGCTGGGGACAGGGCTTAGACTTGCATGTAGGTCTCCGGCACCTGCATATGGGGGAACATTGATGAGAGGGTCCCCTCCTGGTGCTGTGTCTGGGGAACACTACTAGGAAGAGGGGCGGAGGTCTGGTGGGCGAGGGGACTCTGAGCTGTGGCTTGTTTTCCAATCACGATTCTGCCTCTCATTTACTGGGCCACCCTGGATGGATCCCTTGTCCTCAGTGTCCCTCAACTTTGCCATCTGTATAATGGGATCGGAATAACTTTGCAGATGCTAAAACGCCCCCATTAGAGTTGCTGTCCTCTTTAGGCTCCCTCTGTGGGAGGCATACGCTCCCAGAACCTCAGGACTGAAAGGACCATGGGCACGTCTCTACTCATAGCACAGATGGTGAAGTCAATACCCACAGAGAAATGAAATGGTTTGCCCAAGGCCACAGGGAGAGGCAGTGCCAAGCCAGGGGAGGGGGCCCGATGATGTGCAGGGGCCAGAGGCCAAGGATGGAAAGTTGGGGCGCAGGTCCTCAGGAGAGGGTGGCAGGGACAGGGAGGGTACAGCCTTTCTCCCTCCCTCTGCAAGCCATCAGAGCGGCAGGCACGCACATGTTCTGGTGCATGCGGCAGCCCTCCGCCCCCACACAGCCGCCCCCACACAGGCTGAGACACACTGACACTCTGCTGAGCCGCCCGCCTGCCCGCCTCCTGCACAGGCACACAGTGACACTGCTGCCAGCACCCCTGCAGGCTGGGGCCCCGGCTCTCTCAGCGGGGTGAGGGCAGAGCCCTGGGATGCAATACCAGCATCCTTTTGCTAGTGCGCGCACACACGTACATGCACACGCACACGCATGCACACACGTGCATACATATGCATGAGGGCACACACACACTGGCTCCAACTGGGCTTTGAGTACAAGT